ACGAGTTTGGTAATGTTTTAGCGTTGATCCCTCTCTCTTTCTCTCTTTCGAATCGGTTCCGATCGAGAGCACCGTCCTCCGGCGAGCGTGTATCATCCTCGTGCGACGACGACTAAGAAACATGTACCTTCTGTCGCGAATTAACGAGCGCGCGTTACGCGGTCGTTGCGTCGCGTCTTAACGAGCACCGGGCACGTGTACGACGCGCGTCGCGAATTAACGAGCACGAGTTGGCTTTCGAACGCGTCTGCTGACATTTCCTCCCCGGCCGAATCGATCCTCTTGCTCGATCCAAATCGAGTTCCAACGCGTTCCTCGCTTGCTCGCGTCCTGACTTTCAATACGACTCTCTCTCTCTCAGAAATCGACGAATGCAGAAATGAGAAGGAAGTCTAGCATCTAGTATATTGTACTGTAAGCTTTTATTTGTGTACGTGCGTGTGAGTACGTGCGTCGGTGGATGTTGCGTGTTTTCATTTTCTTATGATAATGTGACTGCACTGATTGCGAGTGCAGCAACCTCGCGATGATTGGGATTGTATCGATGTCTATCAGTAAGATACATGTTTATTCGTATAAAAGATAAAATTATGTACATAAGATTCCAGTTATAATTCGCTGAATCGTATTTCATAGTGGAGTATCGTCTAACAATGAGACGACGTTAGCCTCATTAGAGATTCAGACAGAAGAAGATATAATGTGTTATAAATGATGTCATTGTTAAATGTACAGGTAGACGTTCAAAGAGGAATATTTATTTTGTCTACTCATCGTTCGATACTCATTAAATTCGCAGAGGATATAATTGCAAAAGGATTACACATTCTTGATTCGTTACACACGTTCTTCATTCTATATTAAACTCCTAGAATTTTAATAATTTTAACAAGCTATTCGACGAACTTAGTTATCCATATCGAATTTTAATGAATTAGTTCCCAGTTGAGAATTATCATTTCTTTGCAAAATGAATCTGCATAAAATAGCAGATTCTATTCTATATAGAATAAATATATCAAAATATGGATATGTACATATTCCTCATTCTATGATCCTTTTTAAGAATTTTAATAATTTGTTTGCAACAGCCGAATGGAACGGTAATTACCAATATCAAATTTTAATTTATTCCTCTGCAGAATGGATCTCGAATTATTCATCTTTAACCTTCTTTCTTCTCTCTCAAATCAATAAAATCTGCTATCTACACGTGCACCTACAGATCTTCGTTTCCAAGTGTCAACGATTTGAGAACCACCTGCAGAACTCTCTCTCTCTCTCTTTTTCATCTATCTGTCGAATCACCCCTCACCCTCCCTGCTGCATCAACGCGAAACGTTCTCCTTCTCTCGTCGCGTTCCACCTTGCAAGAAGCCGTGAAGCGTGGCCACGTGCATGGAAACGCGGTGGCGACGAACGAACCAGCATGTAAAAGGACCGCGAATGAGGAGCGTGGTATCGTAGAGATCTGTTGCGAGACTCCCCTCTCGCGAGCTGGAGAGCATCGCGACTCCCACCGTTGGCGGCTGGCTCTTGAGAGACCAGCCAGCAAACTCCATTCCAACCCCCGTGGTTCGAGCCACCGAGTCTCCTCCATTGCTTCCTCCAGCAGCCGGCGCCACCCCTCTCGCTAGCCATCCCCGACGAACCCATCTTCCTGGTCAATAACCTCCGTGTGCCGTGTACACTCGCCACGTAATCAGCCACCGATTCGTTTAGGCTCACCAACGTGATTTTTGATAGCGCGTGTGTTCCCTCTCTCTCTCTGTTCGTGGATTTTAGGGTTCATTTGCTTTGACTTGCTATCTTAAGGTCTATCTTGGGACGAATTTTTAACTCTTTCACCTCTTTGAATGTGCCCAGAGTTAAATTGATATCTTTGAAGGGCTAAAGATAACACTATTTGCTCCTAGATTTTATTTTATATATCATTTTGTGTGATACTTATATATTTGACGCTTGGCGGTTTCGAAATAAGGTAGTTGATAATATTCGTAGATTCTAAGTTTTGCCGCCTCTTGGTTTTGTTTTATTTTGAGTACCTTTGGCTGAAGGAGTTTTTCTCAATGAAGAATTAGATTAGGTATCGTTTTGTTGCAACTGAGATTACAGGACTTTGGAATAAATAGGTTAATCCCACTTGCAGTATCTAGATTACGTTTCTAGGTTTCTTGTTTCATTTTTACATACATATTTTGTGACACGTTTGATTTTTGAACGAATCCTTAAATTAGTTTGTATTTGATCCAGGATCAAGGATTAAATTCAGAATAATTTGTTCAACTCTAACACTAACAATAAACTTCAAGCCGCTCGCCTAAGTTTCGTATATTGTATATACATATGAAATATTAAATAAACAATCAATGACATATTAAATAAACATAATACTTTTACAATTGCTTGCTCAAATTTTATTTGCTTCGAATTTATAATTAAAATTGCCCATTTTCAGTCGTATTTTTTGCATAAAAAATCATAAGCAGACTCGATGCTAATATTGCAGAGAACAAAACGACGTTTAATAATTGAAACACGTTGTCTAGTGATCTAATATATTTCATAATAATTTCAACACACGCGTGAATATCCTTGCGTGACACTATCAAGTTCGAAGCTCCGACGTCGCTTTAATTATTAACAAATAACATGTTACATTGAGAGAGAGAGAGAGAGAAAAAACGGAGAAGGAATTCAGAAATATCCGAAGAATTTAGAAACGTTTCTCCGATATTCGGCACTGTCATAAAAATACCAGAAGCCGGTTAATCCGCGCAAGGGTTAAAGAACGACGCTGAATTTGCCAGGATGGGAGGTGGGATGAAAGGGGAAGCAATTGATCGAAGAGTGTCCGGAGCTCTTATTCTCGCGCGTCCATCCTCCCTTTTCGTTCCTTTTTTCATTTGCGTTTCCCTTTCGACGAGGCGCGAGTAAAGAAACGAGATGTCGGCTCCATCGAGTGTCGTCGACGCGACACGACCTCTCGTTGCTTGCTCGTCTTCGTTTACGCCCCGTTTCAGATGGAAATTTTTAACTCGTTTCACAACTCCCTTACCTTCCATCTCGTTCTTTTCTACGTCGAAAAAAAAAAAAAAAAGAAATCGAATGGGCATCGTTCGCGGATAGAAATTAACGCGACGAGCATGTCCGCTTTAAAAAAAAAAAAAAAAGAAAAAAAAGGACAGTCGCATCTTGAAAAGTTAAATTGCGTCACACGATGTAATATCAAGCAACTTGCCGATGCGACGACGATGACGACGACGACGACGACGACTGAAATTTCTCTCGCCATCCTGGCTATTGATCCTCTCTCTGCCGAGCTGATAGAATTGTTACAACCCTTGCTTCATTCGGAATACAGTTCTGCGTTTCTGCAGCTGAACGAACGTTCGAAACGATGGTTTTTCAAAAATTATTATGTTTGATATTTTAACATATATGTCTGTATA